TCTATGACCAACGTGCTTGATATGATATGACATAATGATAGAAAAATAAAAACGGTTGATGAAGATATTCCCAATGAAATTTTTTTAAAATTGCTTAACTAAGGGCACTTTATCCCGTATAATGCTTAGTGTGCAAAGGGCTTTCATCTTATAAATTTGATCAAGGCAGATAATCGAGCTATTTTTAGAATAAATAATTTGTCATCGAAATATTTCAAAGGAATCATCGCTGGGTGGTGAAATCTATTCGAAATAACATACAGCTCAAAGAAAGCGGAGTAATGAAAATCTTTTTAATTAGATATCAGTAGTATTAGTGTCAAATTTCTGACATTATTTTTAAAATATAATATTAATAAAAAATTTGATTTCATGTCAGGGATATGACCCCTTCAATTAAAAAATGGTTCGGGTTCAGAGATAATTTTATTTAAAGGGTTCGGATTTGGAGAGCATAAAAAACTAATGGCTCAATATTAATAAAATAGCACCATTTATTTATTTTTTAATTTATTAACAAAAAATGAATTTTAGTTTTAAATGTTTTATTAAATCCAACAATCATAACATGTTTCAAATTCACTTTGAGATTTTAGCGCAAATCTGACTATAAGTATTCAAGGAACAATTATTCGTATTTTAAATTGAATATCTTGAAAAATTTTACTTTCTTGATTGTATATTAATGTCCCAATATTTTACCTAGATAAAAACAAGATAAGCTGTTCCTATATAGCATATTACATTATCATATCATCTATATGTCATTGTCTATAATCTATTATAATAATCCTCAAAAAATGTCAATCAAATTTAACCAATAGTGTTCTTTTAAAAAATATTTGTCCAATGATAATCATCATAGCAATTTAAAGCCAATTGTATTTCCCATGTGATTTGTTGGCGAATTTCTTCAATCTATTGCTTGATTTAGCTGATAGCAATTACAAATTTAAATATATAGATGTGATGATGGCACTTTCAGACATAGTAGTTTATATCTAAGTAAATTTTTAATCTAGGCTTGTTATTAACAACGAATAACTCAGAATAGCCATAGACCTTCGCTTAGGATGTGAAATATAACATCTACATCATGCGTCCTATGTGAAACCCACATCGAAAGTCTTGGAAACCACCCCCTTCACTGTCGTTTCTCAAAAGGAAGATTACCCAGAAACCATGCTATCTAATCAATCATCAACAGAACATTGAAATCCTCAAATATTCCCTCCACCCTGGAACCATCCGGCCTCAGCCCCGACAATCAAACCAGACCAGATGGTATGACGCTAGTCCCTTGGAACCAAGGTCTACCTCTTGCCTGGGATTATACTTGCGTGGATCGTTTTGCCAGATCTTTTTCTTCCAACTCTATCACGAAAGCCGAAAACACAAAAATAAACAAATATAGCAACCTTGATAATGTTTTGTTTGTTCCGGTAGTCTCAGATAACTGTGTCATTTAGACCCCAAGCCCTAAAATTATTCAAAACAATAGGGCATACGCTTAATCACAGGTGATCCAAAAGAAGGCTTCTACCTTCGACAGAGAATATCAACTGAAATCTGCCGTTCTAACTGCATATCCATACATGAGTCTATAAGCCCCGTTGATCATACCTAGTTAAATGCTTAATTATTATTTCATTTAATATAGTTTTTATATAAATTTTATTTTACAAATAGTTTACATGTTATTTTAATTATTTATAATTTTTAAAAAATAAAAGAAATGAGCCCATAAATAATTTTTAATTATTTTAGAGTTAGAAAATCAAACATTTCAGATTGTACAAGAATATTTTGAGAAACATAGATTTCCAAACTGCCTTAGCTCATTAGATGGTAAGCACATAAAAATCAAAAATCCTGAAAAAATCTGCCATTTTTTTCAATTATAGATCTTTTAAATCTATTGCTTGGTTTAGCTGATAGCAATTACAAATAATTTATATATATAGATGTGATGGTGGCACTTTCAGAAATAGTAGTTTATAAAAGTGAATTAATATTAATAAATAATTTTTAATATTAATAATAAATAATTTGTAATATTAATAAATAATTTTTAATATTAATAAATAATTTTTAATATTAATAAATAATTTTTAATTACTTTAGAGTTAGAAAATCCAACATTTTATATTTTGAGAAACAGAGAAACATGGATTTTCAAACTGCATTGGCTCATTAGATGAAGCACATAAAAATAAATAGTCCTGCAAAATTAGATCTTTTAAATCAATTGATATCTTTTAATTAGGTAATTTTTATGCATAAGTAAATATTTGCATCTCTCTTATATTTTCTGAAAATTTGGCCTTTCTACATGCATTCCATAATGTTGTATATATTCTCATAACTTCATAATTGTAGAATGCATGTTATTCATAACTTATTTAACATTTTTTTTCTATTATTTGTTAACTTTTATACAACTATATATCTTTTAATTAGTACATATAAATATTTGCATCTCTATTATCTTTTCTGAAAATTTGGGATTTCTACATGCATTCCATAGTGTTGTATATTTTCTCATAACTTCATAATTGTAGAATGTATGTTATTCATAACTTATTATAACATTATTGATTATATGTATAACCTTTTCGTTTTACTTATATATAATTTGACTATGATTGAAGTTAACCTCCTATTATTTGTTAACTTAGAAAAACTTTTTATTTTTTTTATTGTAATTTAATAACAATGTCTTAAATTTAATTTTATATTTTGAAACTAAATAATAAATAGTTTGGAAGGGTGGAGTTTGTTTAAAATTTAAATTAGGATAAGCATATTTTCAGCATGGTACTTTAATATGTATTCATGAATTTCATATAAATACCAGGAGCTAACCATTAGAATGATAGGTAAATCAGATATTTCCCCTTCATTTATTGATAATTTTGAAAAATTTTCCCAATAATATAAAATGGCAAAAAAAATGTACATATATATTAGAAAGATTTAATTCTTTTAAACCCCTTATATCAGGCCTATTTTTCTTGATCCAAGGTAAAAAAATAAATTATTCTGGGTTTTCCTGGGCTTGGAAAATATTTTTCACAATTAATTTGGACTTGGACATAGCTTGAGAAACTTTTTCAAAATTAATATAAATCTTAGTTTCCTGAAAAATTTTAAATTTTAAATATGGGCTAGAAATTGGCCTGTAGGCCTGATCAAAAACCCAGGACCATGCAACTTTCATATTTATATTTTTAAATGCATTGTGACTTTTTATATATTTTATTTCAGTTCTCCACTATCAAAATTATTATGGTCTTTAGTGGGTTTGATAAAATTTTCTCAAATGCGTGGACCTTTGGGAATTTTTTTAATATTAAGCATAGATGTAATATTTAACACAGAATATTTATATGGCCCTCAGGTAAAAGCTAATTTAAATATATTTTTATTCAAAAACACAGTATTCACTCTTAGTCTTAATGGGTTGGCCTTGAATATAGTAGTGAGCTGGGTTAAAATAGAATAAAAAATAGATATGGTTTTTAGAGATTTACCTTCTAGGTTTGGGAAAAAATTTTGAAAATTACTATGAGCTTGGACGCTTGAAAATTTTTTATTATTAACTATGGGTCAGACATTGGCCTAAAACAAATTTTTTTGCAGGCCTGGGCTCGGCCTGATCAAAAAACTGTTGGAAGATTCAAATGAGTTAAAGAAAAATGAATAAAAATAAGATGTATTATTCAGATTGGATAAAGTTCAAGATTATTTAAGTTTGTTGTTTAAACAACAGATCAATAGTATAGAAATGTATATATAATCGGGAATATTTTAATTGTAAAATAATTATTATTATAAATTAGCGAACATAATTTTTAATCTTTTAATTTTCCTTATATTAATTTATTTTTTTATTTTAGTTATGATTATTTACAATTTATATTAATTAATAAGGTATTAGTAGTTAATTTATTTATACTATTTTATTGGTATTCTCTAAATTCTCAACTACAAAAATAACTAAGGCCCATGAAAATCTGATTTTGATTGTATTTTTAAATTCATTATGATTATTTAAAATTTTTATTTCAATCTCAACTACCAAAATTATTATGATCTTTCATTGGGCTTGTAAGAATTTTTTATAATTATTATGGCTTTGTACTTTGCCTGGGATTTTTTTTAATATTTAATATTAGGTATAAGTGATCAGTAATATTTAGCAAATAATATTGGTATTATCAAGTAAAAGCTTTAAATTTATTTTTACTCAAACCATAGTATTTACACTTAGTTTTAATGGATTGAACCCGGCCTGAAGGGGGAGGGGGTAAAAAGAATAAAAATTGGATATTATTTTCAAATAACAGGTAACAACTTCATAAAAGTAAGAAGAAAATTCTCATTCCCCGTCATTTTTGACGGGCTATCTACTAGTAATATTTATACTTATAAAATGGATTAAAAAAACTAAATTTTGAAATATGAGGAATGATTCCAAGAAAACAAAAATCATCTTTAATTTTTTATTGCCTCAATGAACCCTTAACCTTTACGAGTTCAGGTTCAGAAAAAATATGAGGGTTAGTGTTCGTATCCCGATTTTGTAAAATTTATTTTTTGAATATATAAAATTATAATTTTCACTGAGGCTTAAATTCTGAAACCCATGCTGATATAGTGTCTACTTTATAAATGGTTTATAAATATATTTTATATTAATTTTATGAAGAAGAGGAAGGCGAAGAGTGGTGAGGAAATTTTTAATAGCTACAAATTTAAATAAGGTGGTTCCACTACAAGCTAAATAAAATAAGTTATTAATTTTTGAAGTTAGACCTTATAAATAAAAGTCAAATAAAACTTACGAAAGTTTAGTTAAAATATTTTTTATAGATAAGTTGTGACAACACTGAATGACAGTTGATCACGTATTTTTTTTATAATAGATTCGACATATCAAAGAGTATCTGGTAGCTCAATTTATTAATTTTTTGAATTTAATGAGAATTTTTTAAAAATTAAATGTCTTTTATCTATTAATCCTACAACCTCATATTTATTATTTTGGTTGCATAATTTAGAGAAGGTCAAATCTCTATGCATTCTATATGAGAGTTTATTTTTTACATTTAAGTCATTAATAGGTGATAAAAACATTTCCTGTTATTGTATAGACTAAATTATGAATTTTTATCTATCATTTAAGTAGATGTTTTTTTATTAAAAATGATAAAGAAATCTGTATACTTGTCATTCTATGTTTAATATATAAAATTTCAGTTTTTTGATATTTATTTTTATATTGTTCAATGTCTAAAATAAAATTTTATTTGCAAATAGCATATTAATCAAAATATTAACTTATTCAATAAATATATTAAAATTTTATTCCATAAATTTTGCCTATTAATAATATGTAATATCAGAGATTTGTGAAGCTCTGCTTGATTTTTTATGTATGAATTGTCCAACCCGAAAATTTTTTATTTAAATATTACCTAGCCTATTATAAGCTTGGGTTGGGTTTTGCATATCTTATTCAAATAATAAAATATATAATATTGAGGAGGAGTAGACTATAATCATATGGTTAATATGAGATTGAGTTTATGGCAATTTTTTAATTGTATATACACTTCATGGAGATATTAAAATTGGATTTAAAAATTCAACTAATTCATCTCTGGAAATAGAGAAATATTAAATAAACCTGCAAAATAAAATTTTTAACCCAAACTTACCCATGGTTCAATGACAAGAAATATTTATATCTAGACCCAGTCTGTTTCAGCAAGGGGCCTGGATTGAACTGTAATGAACAGTTAAACCATTATAAACTGTTATAAATATCAGAACCTTAACCTTAATTGAATCAATATAATAATTTTTTGAAGGAGTAAAAAGAACCTTTATAAAAAAAGGTTAAACCACTTCAAACTGGTTTGGTTTTTATATTTTAGGAATCAAAAAAATTTGAATATCCAGAATTATATAAACTTGCTCTTATAGTACTGGCGGTTCTCGCAACATAAGTTTCGGTAAAAAGGGCCTTTTTGGGGCTAAAATTTGTGTACAACAAACAAATATGAATACATTTATATAAGGAAATATATTACTTATAATAATATATTTAAAAATGAGTTATTTTGAATCTTATATATATTTTTATATATAATTCATAGATGCTTATAATAAAAATAAATTAGACAAAGATTTGCTTCAATAAAAAAAATTTTTATAACTGTAATGAACCATTATAAACCTTTATAATTAGCTGAACTGAACCTTTGTAAATTTTTTCTTAAGAACCGTAACCAAAATGTAACCATTATAATTTTTTACATACTGAATCATAACCAAACTGAACCATTGTAAATAACGGTTTGGGTCCCTGGTTTCAGCCTATATTTTAATGCAATTACTTTGACAATATAATATTTTTCAAATTTATTCTATTTATTACAAAACATAATATGAAAATCAATAGTAAATATTTGCCAACTGCTAATTTTTTTAAAAAACTTTTCTTATTATTTCATTTCATTTTATAAATGTGACATTCAGTCAGGCAAAAAAGGAAGAATATGACTACTATTTTATGGCTGGGCCTCAGGCCAAACAGGTTGGTGACTAGTGATGATGTGTTTACATTTTCTCTCTAGTATTCTGTTCTCTAAACTCCCAACTTATCTAGTATTCTGTTCTTTAAGCTCCCAACTTATATAATTATAGCTGACCTGACCAATATTTTATAGTATTTTCTATTAGGGTTCTCCTACCAGTAGAACTATTTCAGACTATTACCTTTTCTGCTAGTTCCCACTCATATAATGAGAGATTTCCCAAATTAGGATTATCAATAATGAACAGCTGTACCACCCTTTTTTGTTCTATTAATCTTTTGAGCATATAATAGGTAGAATCCCAACGGGTCAACACGTCCTGGATTAATTTATGCCTTGCTAGGCTTAATCAAATTTGTATTTCTTTTAGACTATTTTGTACAATAGAAGAATGTTTAAAGTGGCCTACTATTTTTCTAACCCGGGCAAGCATGTCAATAATAGATCTCTGTGATAAAATTTCTTCCTGTGCAACCAATTGCAAACTATGTGCAAAACACGGAATGCTATTTCCCGTTTTTCATGGCCAAAGCTATATTGGGTGCATTATCTCTAATGATTAGGTGTATTTCTTTTTATATCCCAATAATTAATCATTTCATCTAAAAATTTGAGCAATATTTATTGCTGTATGCGACTCATTAAATGTTTTAGCATTTAGAACTCTATTAATTTGTTTAAAATTTTGGTTTATATAGTGGCATGTTAATGAGATGTGAGAATCGCCACTTGAATTTCTATTCCATATATCTAGCGTAAAGGAGAAATAAGAATCGTCAAACAAAATTTCTTTACGTATTTTTTTGGAGAGTTTTTCATATATATCTGGAATAACACTTTCTATTGGGAATTTTGTAATTTGGACAAAATAATGTAAAACCTTTTAGCCGATATCCGCCAAGATAGAAATCTGCTGGTTGCACGCTATCATTTCCCCTATAAATTTAGAAATTATTATGGATTTAGGATCAGAATATTTCCAATTATTAGTTATATTAATAATAGCTGATATTGTTGGCTGACTTTCAGGGCTTTTTTAAAAAAATTTGATTTGTTTTTTCTAATGTTTCTCGTTCTTTTTTTTATTAGCTCTTCGAATTCCGTTTGATGGAATCGCTTTAAATTTTTCCGAATATTTTTTGTATTAAATGAATTTTTCAGTATTCCTTCCCGTGAAATTAGAATTCTGCAGATAACGCATTTTGCAAAATTCTCTTTTATCTTTTTTAAAATATTTTCTTAATTCAGAAACCATATTTAAATGATTCTTTTATTTAAAGTATAAATAATAAAATTGGTGTTATTTTTTAAAAAAATTAAAAATAAATAAAACTTTGGGTGTTCTTTTCTATTTTTATAAAAAATCTTTTAAAATCTATTTAAAAAAATAAATAACATTTCCATTGTTTAAAAATTTTTTTTAGAAAATATTATTAATGTAAAATAAATCACTGAAACTCGGAAAAATTTATTAATTTTTTAAATATTATTTTTTTTTAAAAAAATAATAAATATGATGTAATAATAATTCAAAGTTTCAATACTCAAAAGTTTTAAGAATTGTATTTTTAGTAAAAAGATCGGATCGGGGTTTTTACAAGTATCGGCTCGATCCGATATTTTTGGAAAACGCTAAATATCGGTACCGATTTTATATTTAATATTGGCACAGCCCTATTTTTATGCATAGAGGACCTTATTTGAAAACATAAATCTAGGACCTTATTTGATAACATAAATCTAACTATTTTAATTTGTATTAATATAAATTCAATCCCTCCCCTCTACTGTAAAATAGTCTTTCTGTATAATTATTTATATATATCTTACTTATTGGCATATAGCTGGCACCAACGCATAGATTTATATGGCTGAGAACACATGCGCTAACCTGGGTGTTTGGCATAATCAAATAATTATTCAAAAATTTTTGTTTATACTTACTGATACTATCAATCAAAATTGGTTATTAATATTTTTTAGAGGTTCGATTCATGTAATAAAATTTATAATAGTTCAGGTTCTGTAAATTATAACGGTTTAAAGTTTCGGTTTGGAACCCTGCTAAAAAATGTTTTTTGAGGCTTGACATTGGCAAGGATTAGCTAATAAGATGGCCAGTTAGAATAGTTATTTTATAAAAAATGCTTGATTAATAAATTTATTCTTATATTAAGGATCACATGGAAACCGGAAACGGTCTTCAAAATATTGAAAAATTAGGAGATACAATTATAACAAGTCGTAAATGCGCCATTTTATTAGATAAAAAACGGAATAAATGCCGAGAAGCTCTTACGTAAATTTTTTTAACTTATTTTATTTCAAGTTTTATATTTAAAGGGCTATAAAGCATAACGAAAAAGATCATTGGATGAATTTTGGAAATGTATTCATAAAAATGGCAGCTGAAAATATAAGAAGTAGCATTAAACAAGGTTATATTTTTTATTTTTAAATATTGGAATATTTAATTTCATTTATAATATATTCATAATTTTTAGACACTTTTTCTGTTTACTAAAAATCGGATCGTTTGATAATATAATGAAAAGTTTAAAAAGCTGTATTTTGATGCATCCTTATTTTTTCAGGGTGTCAAATGGTTTATTATAATTGTTCGGGTCCATTCCGATTCTTTAAAAAAAAATTATGGTTTAATTACTCTATTCCGTTTTTTGAATGAATTTATATTAGTTTATTCTTATTATTTATAGTGGTTTAGTTTTGACCTTTTGATTTTATAATAACACCTTCGTTTTGGCTTGAATTATAAGGGCTTAATTCCGTTTCTCAGTTCGATTCAACACGATGTTTTTATACAATGTTCATTTAATATTATATATTTGATTAAATTTTCTTTAAAGAGCAAACAAACACTGATCAACGCATAAACGAACTCTACGAAAGCATATCTGTAAATACAAATTTATTACAAAAATGCACTGAAGAAAATATTCAATCAATACAAAATACAATAAAATTAGGCTAAATATTTTTTTTATAAATTTGGCTATATAAAAATATAATAAAAATTGAAATAAAAAATGCAATAATATAAGCATTATTGATGGTATATAATATGTATAAATGGACTAGAAATTATCACATGATTCATAAATATGTGTTGACTAAAAAAATGTTTATGAATGAGATAATGATTTGTGAAGTAAGTTGACCACTTTGTAACCATTATCACCAATTAACATGGTCTCGTGGTCACCCTCTGTATATTTGATATCTATTTTTCCAGTGCATACCGAAGAAAGTCCATAATCGTCTCCAAGAATTTCGTCTGCATCTTTGACTCGAATTAGTGTTATATCTCCTTTGTAATCACCCTTGGGCAAATATTTATCACAAATCCTGAGTTTTTGGCAAAAATATTGGGCGCAAAACTCTAGGTCGGTCTGGTCGGGAAATAGATTCGTAACCATGAGCCTGCAATTGTTTTAAAAAAATAACATTACAAAATACTAGAACTGTTAACGATACTTTTAAAATGTATTGAAACTGATACATTCCTCAAATCTATTCGATAAGGTACATAAAAATCAGCGTTCACATTTTGGAATTTTTCTTATTAACAATTAAATATAACTATATTAAAAATAGTATATAAAATGTTTACAATTTAACATCAATACTAAATATTATTTATCAATATCATTTATCACAACCTATCAAAAACATTTTTAGATGAATAAACTTTTAACTGGTGAGCTGGAAGGAATTATTGCATTTTAAATTAGTTAAAATGGCAATCCAATTTTTGTTTTATAAATTATTTTCATTACTTAATTTTTAATATTTATTTAAGATAAAATGTAAAATAACTTGTAATTAATATAATCAAACAATAATTAAATATATTTTTATATCTTAATTTTTGTATTAAAATAGAGAATATGCTATAATTTAAGATAAGATAAAATAATTAGGATTTAAATTAATCAATTAAATATTATTTAAATTTATAGGTTTTACTTGAAAAATAGAAAATTAATTACTAAGATACCTTGCAATTTCAAAAGCATCGAGGGGATTAGTTTAATGCAAAAATGCCTTGGATATAAGTATCACAATACGTTTAATTTAAATATTTTAGCCGAAAATGTCGTTCAACTCAGCAGAGCGTTTAGAATTTTCAAGGCTATTAAATTATTTGTTTTTTAAAAAATTTGATTTCATTTTGAAAGATTTTTAATGCATGAAAATGACAAATAATTAGCATTTTTCGGATTTGATAAAAATCTCTCTAAATTTCTTTCAAACTATGATTAAAACAATAAAAATAACGAAAATATATTCATTTTAGTATAAAATACCTATTTATGGCCACTCGTTGTATATCTTCAGCCGTGGTTAATAATGAAAATTTTTCTTTTAGTTTTATATAATCGCTCCCTACGAACAGCAAAACAAATGCAACCATTATTTCCGCATATTTTTCTATGTCTGACCCGTGTGTCAATTTGGATAAATGATACTACAATATTAAGTATTATATAACTTTACCTTATAAGTTTATTAGGATTTACCTGAGTGTGAGATGTGACAAATGAATGTGATCCATCTAAAAATATTAAATCTTTTATTTTGATTCCTTTAACTTGAAGCTGTAATGCAATCTCAAAAGCTATTGTGGCGCCAAAAGAATATGCACAAATTATGTAGGGGCCATCCTTTTTTATTTCTAGCATTTTCTAATATAAAATATATTAATAATTGAAAGATAAAAAAAAATAATATTTACTCTGATATAAAATTCTGCCATTTCTTCAACACTATCCTGACAAACTTCTTTTGAACATTGGAAGCCGATAACAGGTTGATTTAATAATTTTATGATATTGCTTAAAGAAACAAGGCTTCCTTCGATTGGATGAATAAAAAAAATGGGGACTTTATTGATATCGGTATTGAAATAAACAACAGTTTCCTTGGGAACTAATTCGTTTATGTTATAGCGTCGCATAATGAGCCTAATTTAATTATAAAAAATTGATTTTTTTTTAATTTTAAAATTTTACTCTAATCCTATGGTAGGAGATAAAATTTCCGATGGTGGTGGTTGATTGTTTAAGTTTACATTCAAATTGAGATCATCATTAGAAGAATTTAACATCAAATTTTTCATTTTATTAAATGTGAGTTGTCTAATTTCCTTAATTGATAAGACAATTTCGTATTCCCTTTCTAAAGTTTGTTTAATCTCCACGCCCATTAAAGAGTCTAAGCCTAAATCGGCCAGAGATGTTTCTTGGTTAACAGAACCTATATCCTTAATACCTAAATAATACAAAGGATATTAAGAAAAAGATTGAATTATGATACCTAATATATGAGCGATTGCATCAATAACATTAATTTTGGATTGTGTTTGAGATGTATTTCCCCCCTTTTCCGCTAATACATAACTCGATATTATAGGATGTGAACTAGATAAAAGTAGATCTAACGTGTCCAAGCATGAATTAATTCTCTGGGGCAAGGTTCCACCTACTACAGTTTCATTTCCATTCATCGTTTCCATTATAAGACCCACATCGCCTATGGCTCCCCATTCAATGGCTAAACCTAAACATGAAATAAGTAAGGTTATTTAATTCAATATTGCACCAGAATATCCATCTTTTCTACGACATTCACATATGCGTTCCATTACAGAGTTTGCATACCCGTAATTGGTTTGACCCATATTTCCACGTCCACAACTAATGGATGAAAACACAACAAAGTATGACATCGTAGGAAACAACGAACGTGTAATATTATCCAGATTTAGGACGCCTAGCGCTTTGGGCGTACTAACGTCAATAAAATTGTTGATTGATTGATTTTCGAAAAGAGCATCTCGTAGTACCTTGATAAATTATATATAAATGAGGGAGGAGGAAGATAATATTAAATTTTTTTTCTTATCTCTAGTGAATATAAAATTACAAATACTTTTTGATCCTTTTTTTAAAAAAAACTTGTATATAAACATAAAAAAGCATAACAGTGAAAACAGAAACTCGATGTTTTTAATTTCAGAATCCTAATTTTTATAATAAATATTTGTATTTTAAAAAGTACTTTGGTTAGGGTTAGATTAATATTCATTACATTAACAAACATAATCTTAAAATTGATATAATTTAAATAAGTTGAAAAATAAACTATAAAGGCCTGATTTGGCCAAGGGAATAAAATATGTAATTCTTAAGTCTAACATTAATCTTTAACTTTTATATAAATCCAATTTTAGCTAACTATTATTTTGAACTGTTAATTTTTTCTATGAAATTTTAAAAAACATTAAAATCTTATTACAAAGCTCAATATAACGAATAATAATTAATCTCTTTTTTGCTTTTTATGTAACATTTGCTATATTTTAAAGGAATTGGAAATAATTTAATTTTCTTTGAAATAATAAATAATGATGTGTATAAAATAATAAATTACTGCAGCTAAATGAAATATTCCGTCTAATTTCCCCAAAATTTGTATTTTTTTCATGAGTAAATCGACATCATGTGCTATACTTATATTGAGTTTTGAGATCAAAATTTTGGCGCCCAGACTTTCCCAGTATCGTATTCTCGATGATTGATACCCATTTGTAACCCCAGATCTGGACGTCAAAACTATTTTTCTGGCCCCTTTTTGGATAATCCATTCAGTCATTTCAAGACCGAATCCTCCCAAACCACCAGTGATCAAATAAACATCGTTTGAATTAAATTGATTTTTAGGCAATGCCTTAAATGATATATGCCTAAATCAAAGTATTATTTTGAAAAAAAGAGCATTCAAAATTCTTACTCGTTGAGTTTTTCATTTTCGCGTATTTTAATCAGAACTTTTCCAGTGTGTTTGCCCTTTGCCATATAACGAAATGCCTCCTCAATCTTATCAGGTGTAAATATCATGCTATCAAGAGGCTTAACGACACCAGTCTTAATTCCTTTATCCACCATATCATGTACTAATTTCCAATCGTCATTATCGCTTTCGAATAAAGAATCCAACAATATGCCATGAAATGATACATTTTTCAAGAATATTGCCATACCTAAAAAAGTAATAATAAATAAAATCATCTATTTAAGAAACCTAAAGAAGAATTGTTTGACAAGTCGAATTTCCCAATTTCCAGAAAACGACCATGCTTAGCCAATAAGCGAACACTCGCTTGCAATTTTTCGTCGGATAATGAATTAAGAATCACGTCAACTCCTAAATATAAAATGTTTTAAAAAAATTTGACAAATTATCACTACATTTAAAAAAAATTTACCTTGCCCTTTGGTCATTTTGCACACGTGATCTTCAAAAGATAAATCACGCGAATTACAAAAATTGTCGTCCTTCAATTGCGGAAATCGGGTTTTTAAATTGGTGCGTTTAATTAAAGACCCAACAGAAGTATACACTGTGCAATTCAGGCTGAGCGCGATAGAGATGGCGGCCTGTCCAACGCCTCCACTACCCGAGTGAATCAAAACAGATTCGCCTTTCTTTAAACCTCCTCTTACGATTAAGGAATAATAGGCGGTAGCGTAAACAACCTAAAGTTTAAATAATTATGTATATTAGAAAATATGATTTATTAAAATACCGGAATCGTTGCCGCATCTCTAAGGGACCATGACTTAGGAAGGTCCCATGTAAATTTCGGGTCGACATCCACGATAGTAGCTAATCCCTTAGCCGGAAGTATTCCCATTATTTGTTGACCTTTCGAGTTTAATCCTGAAAACTCCATTCCAAGCAAACAATCCTGGGGTGAAAAATTACCAGGTATGGCATTTGGAGAAAGCTTACCGGTGGCTAACATTATATCCCTAAAATTCAAAGCTGAATAAAAGACCGTGCACAATTCCTTTTGAGATGGCGGATAATTTACAGGGTTTAAGTCAGATTTCATCCATACCAAACTCGTCAAATCTCCTTTTTTCAAGCAATTCACAAAAGCATATTCGCAATCTATCATCATATTATCGTTATTTAAAATAATGTGCCTATAAGAGCCCCATTTTCCATTTAGCCAGACATTTGTAAATAAATCTGTGTTTGTTAATTGCATAAACTTGGGGGACTTAACATTAAGGCTTGATGCATCCAAGGCCTTGTTATAATCCACAATCAACCTTATTATACTACCAACAGGTTCTTGCTTAAGGCAGTTCACAAAACCTACCAACCCAGTATTCGGGGATGACGTGTAAAGCCAAATCCTGTTTTCCTCCGAAACATTTTCCGTATTTTTGTACATCGCGTCTCGTACAGTGTCCACCCAATTATAACCAGGGGTTTCGTTTACAGTGATAATCTTGTGCTTGAGTGGAACCATTGACTTCTTGCGAATCAAATATAAGCTGGACATGCAATTATCAGAAACACTAGAAATCAGATTAAAGCCAAATTTAGAAAACAATTCTATCCAGTCCTTTTTTTCGTAGTAAAAGCCTAATTTCCTTCTTTTCGATTCAAAAACCTCAGTTGGTGTTGGCATTTCCTCCACTAAAACGTCGAGGGTAAAATTGATGATAAAATTGTCTGTGGTTTCGTGGACGAGGCAAAACCCACCGGGTTTTAAAAGGCTATATATCTGTTTTAACGTTTTCTCGAGATCGACGCATTTGTGCAAAACGTTATTGGCCAAAACCAAATCATAATCGGTGGCCAATAGTTCGGGAGGCATATTTTCAAAATTTGGATTCTTTATAATGTCGTATTCGAATGATTTAATAGCGTTTTTATTGGTTCTGTCGTTCAAAATAATTTGCAAATCTTCGCCGTTAGGTCCAAAGGCACAAAAATTGAGTTTGGTCTGAGGTTGTCTATTCATAGAGGTGTAAGCCGTAACTATGAGAGGGTCACTTGGAGCATTAAATTCAATCGCTTTTAGTTTATTGTTGAAACAATTTTCGATGACTAGATCCAAAAATGGTTTAAGATAAGATTCGTCCAGAAGCAACGATACTAGTTTATCCTTGAAAAGGTTAACCTAAAAAAAATATCAGTGTCTTAAATGAAAAAACAAGGAATAAAATACCTTTGCAGATGTGTAAATTTTTAAAACATTCTGATGTAATTGATTGGTCAAGGGTAAATTAAATAGCTCGGTAATATAATTGAGTATAAATTGATCATTTCCATCTATCGATAACAATTTTTGGTCAGGTTTTAAAAGGTCGGCGGGCGGAATGTTATTTAAAATAGTATTATATTTGTCTCGATTTGGTAGGGAGTCAGGCGAAGATATAAACTTTCTTAAACCTTATAAAAATAGAAAAAGATATTTATTTATTTAATATAATAATAACCTTTCCCGATTAATTGTTCGCATGCTTCTTTGTATTGCACCATTTTCATAGTCACATTTTTGGGCACTCCGTCGCTGGAATAAGGAACAAATTCATATTTTTCAATGATTGGTGTCGAATGATGTTGTCTCCTCGATATCGCTGAGGTATGGAGCCCAAACATTTCAACACCTCCGGCATAGGTTTTGTTTAATATTTCATCGTAAAAGCAATCAACTAAAGTAGAATATATATATAACCTTTATCAATACTAATAATTTACTTATGTTATCCTTGGACCTTTGTGAGTGAAGGTGTGGATTTATTTTCATCAATTTAATCCTATTGGGTACATAAAGACTTCTATCATTTGTGTTCAATATCTGACTTTGTAAGATTGTGTCCAAAAAGGTTATCCAGTTACCTGTCCATGATAACCTGGATTTTCCTAGACATAATTGATTTATGTATAAAGTGCATAGTATGATATAAAAAATACCCAAATAATTAAATTCTTTAACTCCCCGGAATTCATCAAAATATTCGTAACCCCTTAAACTCAATTCCTTGTAGATATCATTGGTTTCTAGAGAGAAATCATCTTTAAATTTAACAGAATCGACTTTTTTGATCTAATGTTTTAAGTTAAAATATTTAGTATTTTGCATACAACTAAATACTTCCAATTCATCAGTAGAGGATTGTATGATCCCAGAAGCTACAATAGCACCATTTTCGATTATTTCAAAATTATTTGAATACGGCAGTATATTGACTTCAAATCTTGTATTGGCTAAGAAAAAATATGGATATATTTTAAAAATAAGGATATATTTTAAATAAGTAAGTATATCGTACTGGTTTTGGTTAAAATGGTGGCACGATGAATTTGAAAATTTTCAATAATAATAGGCAAGTCTAAAAAATCTTTCTTCATTTTTTTAGCCAGTGCCCTCCAAGCCAACTCAATATAGCCAGTCGCGGGATATAAAGTTCTACCATCAATATTATGACCAAACAAAAATTCATCCACTTTGGTTGTGGCATCAAACTTGTACACCAGGGAACTGCCTCCACCCGATTCACTAACCAATACAGCATCAAAATGTTTATAGGTGGGGACATCCCAAGAATCGGAATGGTTCCAAATCAAATGGGGTGAAATCATTGGTGTACCCTTAGGTACAGGATATGTAATTGGGGGATACAGTTTTCTTATATCAAGGTCGCATCCAAATGAGTATAATCTAAATTATAATTAATATTTTTAAACTATGTAAAATGAGGTTCACCTTCCTAAATTTTCTAAAAAATACATAACATTATCTTCATGCCCCTTCTTCATTAAACTAACAAAACTACAATCTTGAGATAAAGATCGCTTCAAAATGGATTGCAGAAGACAATGAGGGGCTATTTCGACTGTTACAGCATTACTTGGAATGTGTTTTAAGGCTTCCTATAATGTAAACTATTATAATTTATATATTCATTGAATATGTACTTGAAACAATACTGGATTGCACAAATTGTTTGCATGATAATCAGACGAACAAAATTTGGCTAAATCAGAGTTCCACGAGTCTTCAGGAATAGATGTACTAATCCATTTACTTGAGCGTAATTTAGGTTGTTTTATAACCTTATCTAAAGCGCTCTTCAATATAGGTCCAATAGGCTTCATGAAATAAGAATGAAACGCAACCCCTGCACTGTTAACTTCTTTGGCAAATATTCCCTCTTTCTTTAAAATTAATTTAAAAAAAATAATTATAAAATAAGACACCTACTTTCATGTTATCGACAAATTTTTCAACATCCAGTTTAGGACCAGATATTGTAACGGTGTCTTCAGCATTATGGCATGCAGGTACAATCCCAGGAGGGCACATTTCTTTAGCTTCCTTCCAAGTTAAGCCTATAAAATTTTATATAAATTTTGAAATTAAAAATGGTAATATTCATACCAACAGCGGCCATACCACCAGGAGCGAGCTTTGCATCTTGTATACATTTGCCTCTCCAATAAGCTGCTAATACCATTTCTTCTGCAGTAAAGCCTCCATCAGCATATCCACATCCAAGTTCACCAACTGAATGACCAATCAAACCATCCGGTTTTAAGCCCATTTCATTTAATAAATCAACCAAACCTACCTAAGTTTTATTTGTGTGAAGTATGATAATAATAATAGATAAACGTTTATATAATTATCATAGATATATCAAATAATATAGTGCTTTTGACTCATTTATTCCAAATTAAGTAATCATTATTATACAATGTATAAAATGATTTTTTGAAATAAACTTATATAAGCACGTGATATGAAATGATGTGTCTTAAATACTTGTATGGCAGCTACAGAAACAAAAGAATTTAGAGTATTCTCCAATATTTCAGAATCATTTGTTGATAAAATTGAAATTAAATCGATTTCAAATTGCTTTAAAATGTTGGCCGATTTAAATATTGAGTTTGAAAATGTATTGAAGGCCATCATGGCCTTCCCCATAGCGACCCATTGTGTTCCCATTCCAGAAAATATATACCAAAGTGGACGTTTATTTGGCATTTGTTTCTAACATAATTTTTTTAAATTTTATTTCATAATTATAAATTTACTTTAATCTCTTGATGTGACTCAGTCCCTAAAATATTAAAACCCCTAAAAGGATGACTAGAAGGATTTGTATCTGATAATTCTTCTACCATATTATATAAATAATGATCATTAGGATGAGAATTCATGAAAGATAACATTTTCCCAACAGCTTCTTCTGTCCGACCTTTATACGAATATATTTTGCTATAAACAAAATAGTTATAAAAAACCTGACGTTATAAATAATTTTGGTAAATTTGATATATAGTTTTGTGTAGGATTGTGAGATTGATTAGAATGAAAAATTGCATGGACATTTGATCCCCCAAAACCAAAATTATTCAATGCTATGTATCCTCCACTCCAGGGAGTCATTTCAGTAACTACCTATAATGAAGATGCATAAAACAATCAAAGTATTTTCTAAAACTTTAAGTTGTCCGGCAACCAGGGCTGGTATATTAGGATTAGGTTCGTTGTAATGTAAATTTGGAGGAATTATTCCTTCTTCCATTGATATAATTATCTTAAGTAATGAAGCGAGTCCTATATATAGTGCCAAAATAAATCACGATAAAAAAAATAAATGATCTTTACCAGATGCAGGCTCTGGGTGCCCCATATTTGATTTGACAGAACCAATAAGTAATGGTAACTTGCGATTTTTACAGAAAAAATCAGCCAATGAATTACATTCTTGTGGGTCACCTGCTTGAGTACCTGTACCATGAGCTTCGATATATGACACCAATAAAGGATCAACATGTGCTTCCAGATAAACTTCGCGTATCAACAATTTCTGCATTTCTCCATTTGGAAAAGTGATTCCTTAGTAAAAATATATTTCAATAAAAATCGTTAAAGTGAAAATAATAAATTAATTAATAGAGTCCGCACCGATATTAAAATATACTAAATTTTCAAAAAAAAAGTTTCGATACCGATTTTTCAATTGTTTTTTTTCTGAGTTTGAAAAAAAAATTTTAAATTTCTTTAAATATATTTTCTTGAAGAAGAGATATTAAATTTTACCTGAAGATGAAAAATCATTTGTAATTTTCATGCATAAAAAATCTGACGAAATCAAAAAATCCTTAATTTTTTTTAAACTGATTTTTTAAAATTAATTTACATTTAAAATTTCTGGTTTTATAATTCATTTTTTTAACATTTTTATTTCCCAAATGTTCCTGAAAAGTATCTAATTTTATTTCTACATATCGACAAATTTTTACTCATTAATCTTAACTAGATATCAATTATTATATCTAAGCATTAATATATTCTAAAAGATAATCATTTATATTTTGGGGGGTACCATAAATTTGGAGTATCGAAAAACATTCTCCATTTAATAGTAACAGTGGCAATAAAATTATCAATTAAAATTTAAAACTATTTTACAAGAGACCGCCATTTTTTTATAAAAAATCGCTTCCCACCCCGGTTGATTTTATTTTTGAGTGGAGGAGAAATTTTTCTTAAATTTTGTTTTTTCATAAAAATTACCCAAATAAATAAATATTGAATGGATTTTTATTCAAAGTTATCAATTTCGATTATTTTTTTTAGATTTTGGACAACCTAAAAGAAAATTGAAAGTATAAAAAGCGAATGAATGTTTAGAAAATCTCTTATGTACCTTTTTACAACTAATTGATAAACATTTTTTTTAAATTGGGTTCGGTTTTTATGTACCGAGTACCTGAGGGTTTATATAAGACGGGATTCAGGTTTCCGCTTATTTAAAATATTTCGTCTATATAGATTTTCGTACTTGTTTTTTTACAGTAATGTTATGTTAGCAAACAATAGGAATTTAAAGAAAAATAAAATGGAATATTCATGAAGAATTACAAATATAATATTTACACAATAAACTGTACGTAATAAATAAAAAAAAATTTTTTCAAACGTCCCTGAACTATCCCGGTCATATCTATCCTAACGTTCAAAGTTATTATATCAATTATTATCTTTGTAAGATAATTTCCTAAATTAGAAATTACTTTTTATTAAATACAAAATTTTAAATACGTAACATTCTCCTGCAGAACGTTTGCCTAGTCTATAATTATATTTAAGAGAAAAATTGGAGTACCTTTAGACCTCGCTTGTCGCGTAAGCAATGCATAATTCATGGCTAAATGATAGCATAGCTTTATTCAGTGCATTTATTTCTTTAAAATGTGTAAAGATTTTGCATAATAAAAAATTATATTAAAAATGATAGGTTAAATAAATTATTTATAAAGTAACTGGTAACTTTTAAAAATTAATTATAACCATTCAAACGTAAATTTTAACAACACTAATAACACTGTATTTTTATAGCCTTTTATATATAATATCTGGAAAAATAATAGTAAATTCTGGAGTATTTTATTTTAAAGGTAGCTAACGATGTTACTCTTTTACAAAGTAAAGGATAAAGGTTCATTTTTTTGGACAATAATATAAAAGGGCGCTACATTTTTAAGTAATGTAACTTTATGGCATTGTGATAATTAAATTAATTACGTTTATAAGGAAAATTATTTATAAAATAAATTTCAATATTATCAGGAAGGAGATTCAGTGTTCGTATTCTTATCCATTTTATCATTCATCTAAAAAGTAAAAAAATATTTAGACAGTGGCATCATAAAAAATTAAAAGTATATACGCCAATACTTTTGCAATGCCTATCAAATTATGTACTTTACACATAGTAGTACATTAATTTTGAGATAACTTTTACATAGAAAAATATTTCTTTTATATAAAATATAACGAATAATTTTTTTTAGATTTAAAACTATATTTTTTTATGATGGAAAAATTTATTTTAAAATTTAATTTGAAATAAAAATTATTGGAAAATTTTATCTTATCCAGCCGTTTTAACCCTTCATAGTTTACCCCAATTAAATGTTTTACCCGCGTCTAATGTAGAGAGAAGATGGGTGGCACAGGCAAAAGAAAACATGAAAACTATCTAAAATTTAAATAAAATATGCAGCAATCATAAGCTTTTAAATTTATATTTGGGTAAATGGTAAATATATTTACTAAATATATTATACAAAAAGGTTAAAAAAATTAAAAACCATATTTTTAAAATAAATCTAAAACCAAAATAAAAAAGTACAAGACTATGAATTTTTAGAAGCATAGGTTAGCAAAAATAACATCTGGTATAATTAATGTGGTAAGATTATTTTTTTAAAAAAAATTGTATTCCCATTTACGTTTAGTTTGGGTGTATTTTTATAATTTGAAAATTATTATAAACCTTGACCTAAGCTAAATATGGGATAAAATTGGAACCTGATATTGACTTATATAATAAATAATTTAAAAAAATCATTTAACAGTCATCGTCAGTAATTAGAGTTTGGCGGTACCCCCTTCCCCATGGAAAATATTAGGGGCGTATCTATTAGTGATAAGCAAGGCCCGCCCGACCCCCCTCCACCGGGGTTCGAAAATATTTTGGCCTTAGGTGAGCCTAATTTTTTAAAATAATTTTATTTCTGAAAAAAAAATTTTTTAATTTTGGGCCAGGCTTTCAATAGTAGAGATACCATCTTTTGCAGGTCTATTGCTGATATTAATTTTTCACTAATATTTTGTTCGTTATACATATTTAATGTATTTTAATTTATTATACAATAACATAGGTCATTTAAAAATTATATTATCAAATTTTATTATCCTTTAGGACTATTTATTCAATATAAATCATTATCTTTATTGTTTTATAAGATATGGATATTTTATTAATTCGAATCAAATCATGTCATAATAATTTATAATTATATATGTTAGCGTCAATGTGTTATTTTTTTAACTTTTAAATCATTTTTTGAGTGAGTTTTTTTTAACAACCGGAAATGTATTTCAACATGTTTAGAATACCTATCTTGTGAATTATAGAAAATTTTAAGTCATTTGTAATTTATATAAAAAAAACTATGAAAAAATTAATATAAATTATATTTAGTTCAAAGTTCGTAGAAAAATTGTCAGAAACTAATATAACACATTGCCAGAAAAATATAACCATATACATAAAAAATTTGAAAAAAAATATATTTAAAAAGAATTAATGAGACTTCCAATGAAGTATTTATAAATCATTGTAATATTTTTTGTTCCAAAAGTTTTGCAATCGTATAGAAATTAGAATCTAATAAGTCTATTCATGATCAATATAAATTGCTATAATTTTTTAAAAAATTATGTATATTCTTTTAGAAACAAATTATGCATTTTTATTTTATTAACATTTTCAATTATATATACTCTTAATTTGCATAAATATATTTTCTTAAATATTAATAAATTTATAAAAATTAAAACTTAATAATATCGGCCGATAACCTGTACATTTTAGAAGAAAAAATCGACCCGATCTGATCTGACAACAAATATCGGTACATTCCTAAAAGGCTAAATTTTGTTTTGAATTTATAAAACCCCTCACTATATATTAACGGAAAACAAATATTTAGTGCTTAGTTATATCACCCATTATGACTTGATGCCAGTTTTTTCCCCTCTATAATAACATAAACAATAAGAATTAAAGCATTAAAATGTGATAATCATCACTTAGGTTTGGTATTAAGTTAAGAAATAGTATTTCCAAAATTTTGACTGAGTACCCCCTACCCTTCCATCGCACCCAGGGTGTCGAATCAAACAGAAATAAAACGTTATAGTCTTTTAACCCATTTTAAAATTGGTTTTTACATTCAAGTTCTAAATTTCATTTATTTTCTTAAATTTTTATTATATTATTCGGAGGGGTAAAAAATAAAATATTATAATTAATTCTAAAAATCCCCAGAATGTCATGATATAAATGTGTTCATAACCGGAATAGTCGTTTTAAAATTTCAAAGAACTGAATTGTGAAGTTATAATAATTAAGGGTTCGACGCCCTGATGTAACCCCTATGTATGTTCAAAATGTGAGACTAATTTTAAAAATAATTATATTTTATTTTAGGTGTAAACAAAATATGGGCCAAGGCCAGGCTGATGTGTGGTGAGGTTAGAGATAAAATAATTCAAAGAAATGGTATTAAATTTACATGGACTAGAGGGCTAAAACATATTTTATGAAAGGACAAAAAATAAAATTTTTATGCAAATTTATAAAAAATATGTCAATTTTTGAGGTGATTTTTTTCAAAATTTGATATAAAAAATTGAGGTTAAAATAAATGATGCCCATTAATATTAAATATATTAATATAAATTTATTTTCAAACATATATTTTTTTTAAAAAATATGTAAAAAACATATCTAAAAAAATTGTTCAATAAAAGTGCATGAAGCTTTGCAGAAATATGCTAGGGTCTTTATTTGATATTATTGAGCTATATTTTTAAGAGTAATTTACATATATTTTTTATAGGGCTGTGCCGATAATAAACATTGGATCGGACCGATATCCAAAAATATTGGATCGGGCCGATACCTGTAAAAGCCGATCCGATCTTTTATTTATTTTACATTATTATAATATTTTCTAAATAATCTTTTTTAAAACAATGCAAATAGACCCTCTAAATTTTATTTCTTTTTTAAAATAGATTTATAGTATTTTAAAAGTTTTTTTTTATAAAAATAGAAAGGAACATCCAAAGTTTTATTTATTTTAAATCTTTTAAAATAATAACGCCATATTATTTATACTTTAAATAAAAGTTTTTTTAAATATGGTATCTGAATTATGGAAATATTTTATAAAAGACAAAGATAATTTTGCAAAATGCGTTATCTGCGAAATCATCTGAGTCTGCCTTCAGTACGGCAGGGGATATAGATAGTCCAT